AAGTTTCCTATCTTCATAGGAATCAATGGGAGAATGGAAAATTGCTCAAGTGGGCTGTTGGGCGTAATCGTAAGAAACACTTTTCATTTCATCCCTGTAGTTCCGCTTCTTGCTCTAAAAATTAGGAAAGACTTGTCGGAAATCGCCAGTTGGCTTGGTCCGACCAAGAAAGGCATGGGACTCTTTGGGCATTGCTTGGGTCGAGTGAAGTAAAGACTGGCTACCTATAATATAAAGATCCCTCACTGCACACTTTAGATATAATGAAAACCTTTAGTTTAGGAGTCATTCAGGCTAGATCTAAAAAAAGAACATAGCCTTCGTATGATCCCTTTCTAGTACCCTATCTTGAGCAGGAAAGTGTTCAGTAGGAAAAGACTGGAAGAAATGGGATTCGAACCCATGCATGATGCAATCTTCTTGTATGTCGATTTAGCAAACCAATGCCTTAAGCCCTTGTGCTATCCCCCCATGATCAGATCAGATAGCCCTTTGGGCAACCAACCCATTTCGCTCTATCATTTCTTCTTTCTTTCCTAGCCTACTCAAAAACTATTTAGGAAGGGCTACCGTTATATACGCAATTAATAAAGGATGCCGAATCATCCACCGAATCCTATGTTTCATCCTAGTTTATTTGATGTGTATACCTGTTTTTCAGTTGGCCTCATGTATATCTAGGCCAATGTGTCTTATTGGGCTTAGTATGTGCTTAGTTTCGGTTAATCCTTAGGCTCTTTTTGATTACGTAGAAACTTGGATTATTTTTAGCCTTTGTAATCGTAATCTAATTTCAATAATTTTTTCCATAGGTTAGTTTCTTTATTTTAGAGCTCGGGGAGTGTCTTGAGTTCTTTGTTTGGTTGCCTGGGGTGGGGTATGCCCCTTCATTTATGTTTACTTCGGGGGTTCTCCTCCATCGGTCAATGTATTCTTACTTACCGAAAAGAAAGACTAGTTAGGTACCGTAGGTAGAGCATATTCCAACACTTCGGATAACCACTTGACATTGGCACCTTGGCCAGGTAGATCCGTCCCACTCTCCGGACCTCACCTCTGCTTTTTTGGAGTACGGGATGACTCGGATGGGCAGATAAAACAGAACCTGTCAGTTACGCCTTTAGGGGCCGCCACGTATAGCTTTAGTTTATGCTGTAGCATCGGTTATTGCTCTGGTTACGAATGACCCAATCTATCTATGGCAACCACCCCTACTTTTAGTAGATGGAGATGCGCACCTAGGAAAGCGCGGAATAGACCTACGTGTCGGCCAGTGCCGGGGCAGAGATAGGGACCATGAAAGCATGGGATTCAATCGAACCTTTTCGGACAATTCCTAACGCAGAAGAGGGATGCTAATAAGCTGACAGCTCAGGCATGGCTTCAATAGCGAAAGAAGTTCTTTCTGATTTGAATCAAGAAAGACAATGAATTTACGAGATCTTGATCCGTTCAGTGCCTTCACTTGTGAACAACAGGGACCCATTCTGTTGATTGCTTCTCTGCCCCAGCTCTAACAAACTGGTTTTTCTTTCTCACAGAATTAGGGAAATCATTAGATTCTTCTTCCTTCTTTCGGTAACATATACCGAGATAGGCTGGGAAATCCCCCTTCGATAGACAGGTGGCAACTTGACCTCTAAGTAAGGACAGGAACGCCCGTGCCCAATCAAACACCACAATCATGAAAAGCACCTGAACCGAGACCTAAAGCTGAACCGCTGAAGGAACCTCTTTCCGTTGTTAAAGCAAGTACGCTTTTCAAGCTTTTTCCTTACTCTTACTAAAGCAGGCACACGCAAAACTCTCTATTTGGCTTTTCACTGAAACCAATACGTCTAAACATAAGGTAGGTGCTTTCACGACTCACTAAACGGGGGATCAAAATCTTTGCGCAGTAGAGGCGGAGGACGAAGCGAATGTAGAGGACACAGCATATCCAGGGAAGGAAGATGGACTGGACTCACTCTCATTCATGGCATGGGCAAAAGCAGCCCTAATGACTTTCAGTGAAGATATGCTTATACGGCGAAGTCAGTCACAAAGTCTATGTTCGTATGCTTTCACTCTAAGCCGACCATCCAAAAAGGATGTGCACAATTGATCATTGACCGCAGTCTTCTCTTTTCTCTCCCAATGTGGGGAACTTTTTTCGGTTTTTTTCTCTTCAGCACAGCACTCAATGGTGATGCATGGCGTCATTACTGAATCCTTTCATTGACCTTTCTTTTCTATAACGAAAAAAGCCCTCCTCTCGGTGATGTGGGTGAGAAACCCAAATCAGAAAAGCTCAGCAAGCCAATGGCTCAACGGTTCTCACCACCCTCCTCTGGCGCAAACACCGTTTGCTGCGCTGCGCTCATCACGAGAAGCCGGGGAACTCTCTTGGGTGGACTTCAAGCGCGATGATAGTCAGTCTGAAGTTTTCTACTATGCCATCTTTATTAGTTCAAAGACCGGGCTTGGGGGTTGGTCTCAGTGGTCAATGAAAATGTACTAGTGTGCTGTCTTAACATGCAGAAATTTTATTAGACTGCTAGCTTTACCAGCGGTAGGAGGGTGAAAAGACGGTGCATGAGCGAAGTAGGATCCTCTTTTTTTGTATCCCATCGACGATATTCTTTGGTTTTGGTACATAACAATTTGCATAAGCAAAGTCGAATATTTGTTACAAATCTAGATCCTGCACTCTCATCTCTAGTCTCTAGCTATCATCTTAGTATATTAGTCAAGCTATATCTTGTACTTTCTTGGGCCTAACTAAGAAAAGAGAACAAGAAAAGCAAAAGCAAATACGACTTTCAGCCAGGCTGCTTCATTCAAGTCTAGGACTTAGGCAAGACTTATAAATCGAGCAGTTATAAAGCAGTTTAATCGCATTTATCGTCTCTCACTTAGCTCTGATCTGGTGTCGTCGCTCACAGTCCAAGAAGAGTAGTCCTTTCATTGGCTAGCGGGATTACGCTTAATGGGATAGACCGATCATCGCTTCCTTCCTCTACTAGTTCTGGAGTCAAGCCAGCAAAGAAGTAGACTCCTTCCTTTTTCACTGGCTAGCATCATAGGGATATTCGACGTTTAATGAGATAGTCTAGTTCTAGACTAAAGCTAGCAAAAAACAAGACTGAGGTCGATAGGGGCATTACTAGTAATTGCTAAGGTGCTTTATTAAGTATTTTCCACGCTCCTCTCCAGTCTCTTTCCAGCCTTTGTGATTTCATATACTATTCCCGTATGCCATATCTCTTATTCAATCTTGCTATACGTCCAAGCTCGGTAGTTGGAAGCAGAACTGAGACTGGATGTGACTGAAGGAAAAGGGAGATAGGTGTGATAGGAGGGCACGGTTAAACAGGTAAGCGAAGGCTCTCTCTCTCGCTCTGTGGTCTTGTGTGAACTCCTTTCCGCCCATTATTGATCTTCACTCTAAGTGAGCAGGTCAAAGCAGTTGAGGTGATAGCAATAGTAAGCAGGGAAGCAGAAGCAAAAGGTCTTCAAAGAACTTTTGTGTAATAAAGCTTCTTGGTCTCATTTCATTGGTCTCTAAGGCAAAGTCTCGCTTAATCGTTCATCGATCTTTTTCTGTAAGGCCTCGGGCCCCACGAATTCCGATTTCTGTTTTTGTTTGTATTAAAGTGTTGGTAGCTTCTAGCCTCGAGCTGGAAAGTCTCATCGGCGGGGGTACTATAGATATATCATAACTCTCTAATTGAGACTCAATCTATACAATCAATCAATCAGTATGTGCAATATACCGGTCTTTGCGATATGCTCTTTCAAATAGATCACAGATCTTCCCGCTTAGCTGCACTGCTCTCTGAGCTCTTTTGTCCGCTATCGCTTCCTCTAGTACTAGCTCTGATCTCTCTTCAGCAGTTGCAGTACGATTCTTTAATTCATCTCCTGCCCTTTATAGTCGTAATCGCTAGAAACTCTATATCATTGGCAATTGGCATTGGCGTAATCTTTTTTCTCCTGTCGGAAGGGGGTCCTGTCGAAAGCAAGAAAAGGCATTGCAAATGGCGTGCCCTTACTCTAATTCTAAATAAAGCTCTTTTGCGCTCTTGGTCAGGCCTGTAACAAGTATCTAAAAAATCTTTTCTTTTCGGCCTATGGTTCGGTCAAAGCAATGACTTGAGTGAGTAAGGAAGTAGGACCTTTTTACCCCGGCTGTGAGTTATTACTGACCCCTCTCTGTCTCTCCCCCGCGCTGTGAATGAAGTGAGTAATTCGTTGGTGCTTGCCCTTCAGTAAGTAGTTCGGATGGCTGGATACATGCTACGCTCTGCCACGCTTGCCTGACCGCGAGAAGCCTTAGGGTAAAATAATCTTGAACAGCAATTTGAGAGCATCTTTGGAATTGAAAGAAGGGGCTAACCTGACTTTCACTTTCATAAAAAGAGAAAACTGGACTTGCACTTTAAGAAATGGAATTGCGATGAGCCAGAAGTTAGAATCTCGCCTAACCACCTGTCTCCGTCTCCCGTAGTTCCCCCCAGAAACATCCGTTTGCCTACTTCTACTCTGGCCGGGGGTAACAGTCTTTTTGAGAACCAAGTGGCCCTTGAGGAAGACCTTCAGAAAACCCCTCTAACTCGGGGAAAGGAATTCAAGCCCATAAAATGAGTCAAGTCTATGATAGGTACCAATAGTCTTTATGGCGCTCTTACCCCTTATGCAAAGCACCAATGACTTCGGTCTTCTGAAAGGGGCTTAGGGCATATCATCAAAGAAAGAATCCCGAGGAAGGGGGTGAAGCTGAGGTTAGAAACGGTTTCTCCCGCTGTTGCTAGTTCTTCCGTTGTTGGTAGTTCCTCAGGTCGGGTTGTTTATTTTTCAGAGCTTTTTCAATTCTTTCAGAACCTTTCGTATGCGCCTATTGGAAGATTTGGGCTACCTCCTCTCTTTCCGATCTCATTCAGATAATAAGCCAGTCCGGTTTATTAGATAGTGAGTGGGTAAGAGAGGTGCTTGGTCTGTCTCCGAATGTGGGCCTAGAAGCATTAGCCGAGTCTCTGAATATTCCCGAGGGTTCTCAGGATAAAGACAGCCTTAAGGTGCTAACGGAGCTTCCACGGTCTCAGTCCATGAAGGTGCTTGCTTTATTGGTTGGCAGCTTGGTTATAGTCGTTATGAAGAATGAAGGAGCGACGAAGGAGCTCACTTCCACGACATGGGAAAGGATCATGGGATGAGGAAAAGAAAGAAAAGGTGCAAGGTGAGGAGATATCGAGAGGTAGAATAGGTGAAATGAGTTCAAAGGAATTAGTTAAGACACGCTTCTTTAGCACAGGCCACGGAGTGAAGTTGGAAGGTTCAATGAACTACGCGAAGGGGAAATCTTGGGCGCTATTGTTGTCTATATACAAGTGGCGTAGGCGAAGCTGTGGCGACTCGTGGAGTAGACAGCGAGCTCCGCTTGAACAGAAAGCAGCAAGCTGCAAGCACTACTCCAAAAGCAGTGAGCTCCGCAACAAAAGCGAAGCGAGCCGCGGTAGCCTATTAAGTTTTTCAGCTGCATCGTACCGTACTATGGGAGGGGTCCGTACCTCCTTTAGATAGAGCCCCCCTGCTCCTAATGTAGAGCTAGAACTACTGCTACCGTGGAATCCGCGGTCACACATAAGTATCTCGCCTTCCAAAAAAAGCGGCTGCTAATTAGCACTAATGCTAATGGGGACCATCGATCAAGAAGGACTTCGGAGACTGCAATCGAATTGATCAAAAAAGAGAAATAGGGCCAACTCTTCTAGTTGCGCCTCTAACCTTACTACGCTACCCTGATAAAAGGTCGAATTCAGCAGGACTGCAGGCACGAAATGCCGATCAAATCCGTTAAAGGAAGCCTAATCAAAGCGGGCAAACAAGAAGATCTGACTGAGTTGATGATGGACCGGATCTCGAAAGGCGAGAGGCTTTCATAAAGACGTATGAGAAACGGAGGGTCGAGAGAGGCTTATTGCACGATCCACCCAACCGCTAATAAATGCTGCATAAGATAAGAGAGTGGGAGGCCGGCCCCCGCCCATCTGGAGGTGCACACCCATTTATGAACATATACAAAGGGCTAAAGAGAGAAGTCCATGGAGAACTACCAAATCCAATGACTTTGATTTGTTCGTACCATTCTGTCATCGATCACTGCTGGGTCGGTTGGTGAGTCACCCAAAAAAAGCATCGAGAAAGGTCAAGCATATATGTTTTATGAAATGATCAGCGGTTTCATTTATGCTATGCCCTGCATCGTGTTCGTCTGTGTTTATTGAGCTTTCAGCGCCATGCGCTTTGCTTCGCTTTATAAAAGAGAGAGAGCCTTGTCTTGAGAGTGAAAAGAAAGGGCAAGCGATAGAAAGGATAGTCCCTCGCGCGTTCGCGAGAACTACTAGAAAATGGTGAGATCATTAGATCATTAGTGAAAGAAGGACCAACGACGATCCTATCCTAAAGGAGAAGAAGGAGTAGGAGGAGTCAGTTTTCTTTGAAGATCGAGGAATCAATCTCCCAATTATGCCATTCGGAAGAAGTCTTCTACAGAGGGAAAGCCTGTTACGAGTAAGTGGAGAGGAAAGATCTCCAGAGATTCTTATCTCATTCCATTCCAGTGGCTCAACCAGTAACCAATGGCGAAAACTAAAAAATCCATGGTTTCCCGGTAGAACCCTATTTCGCCCAAGTTGTTTCAGAACCGGAAAAAAGAAGCGGTTTTTCGCACAGCTTGCGCATAGTGCAGGTCCCACTTGTATATCGTATTTGGCCGAAGAAGCATCGGACAGGTTGGAGTTCTTACCTTCTTGGGATTCCATGGACCAAGATCTGCTTTTATTATATGGGCAATACCGATCTACTTTAGTAGATCATATGGATGTAGAAAAAGCTTCTCATTTTGATGAATTGGAAACATCTCTTTTCCATTTCTATTTACCCAGTTCATATCTTTGTTTCGTGTGTTCCCCGGAGGAATTCGATCTCTTCAATCTCGGCGGGATACCACCTAAATAACTATAACTGCGGCCAGAGAGTCAAATAGGTCGGGAAGAAAGAGTCTGAGGTTGGGTTGGACGACATACATCTTGGTTGGTCCCACCACCACTGGGGATTGGACATATATAGAATCTTTCTTCTAAAAAAGTCTTATTTATATATATATAATTTTATATTCTTATTTATTTAAATAGCTGCAAGACCACAAAACGGGGTGAAAAAAACCGAAAGCCCTTCTTTTAAGTTCCTCCCAGATACATGGCTTACATACCCGGCTCAACATTCTTGGAAAACAATCGAATCGAGGGTCCGGAGGAGAATTGGCCATTCAATCTTGTGAACTAATCGAGACCGAAATTGGAGAAAGAGATACGAACGGAAAGGAATAACCAATCGATGAAAGAACATGAAACCATTCTGTTTCAATAGAGGTACGAGAAAGGGTTGGGGGCAATGAAGTAGGTGAAGTGGTTGGATTTTGCGAGCTGTTCCCACCACTGCTGGATGTGATTCCAAGAG